AGAGACGGCCCTGAACAAGAGCCAAGCGGTTTCTGCATCAGCTTTTAAAACCACCAAAATGAGCTCACTTGTCATGCTGTGGTCCAAATATTTTGGCCATTTAGATGCAACCTTCTGTGCTTCTGAAATGAGGTGTATTATTAATCTCATCCACCCAGTGACAGGGTGGGCAGATCAGACAAGGATCCTTGCAGCGGGATGGGGAAGGGTGAGCATGTTCTTATCAGTGCAAAGCTGTGATGGAGTGCAGCCTGCCTGGGGGAGGGGTGGCTGGGAACCCCCTGCGATGAGGAGGGCATGGGCACGGGGGTTGCTTAGGGAGGAGAAGAGAGGCTTCCAGATACACGGTTGCTGGCTTCCAGGATGTCACATGGGGTGACATGGCAGGGGGTTTCTGCAGATGGGATTCTGAGATAGGGCGATAGGGCCAGCTGGGATTGGCTGCAGGCTCTAGGAGTTAGGTTCCAGATGGATTTCAGACGGGACTTTCTTGCTAACCCTACTTTTTTTCTGATTATAAAAGTAATAAAGACTCGTTGAGAGAAGGAGGCAAAATACAAAAGAGTGTGAAGCCCCCATCGCTCCATTAACGTTCACCAGTGGGAGGGTGGGAGGTGTTTTCCTTCCAGATTTCTGTGTATACATTTATAACTGGCATCCTTTTGTGTGCAATGTTAACTGCCTTTTGTTTTCACTAAGCAATGTATTATTTTGAGCACCCACTTTGGGGGAGTAGACAGCCTGCACCGTGGTCAGCCCGCAGACAGGCTGCACGGATCCAGGCACCTCACAGGCTCCGAAGCCCACAAAGTGACCCCGCCCACGATGTCAGAGTAAGAGCGTGCCTGCTTCGCTAACGTTTCTCTGAACCTGGAGAGCGGAGAGGACCCGTGGCTGGGCTGCTGTGTGTCGGGGACTCTTGAGGACAGCCTGGTGGCCAGCTCCTTGGCACTGCCAGTTGCAGGGGCTAACCACCTTGTGACGGACAGCCCGCTTTCCCCAGGATCTCTTGGCTCTTCCTCTCTGCTGAGTTGTGACAAGGTGTGGGCTTGGTGAGGCAAGAGCTCTCCTCTCTTCCAGTGTCCATGTGGTCACTCTGACAGCAGGAATCCATACTGCCCTCAGCCAGCTCACAGCAGGAATCCATACTGCCCTCAGCCAGCTCACAGCAGGAATCCATACCCCCCCAGCCAGCTCACAGCAGGAATCCATACCCACCCCAGCCCCCTCGGCAGGAATCCATACCCCCAGCCAGCTCACAGCGGAATCCATACCACCCCAGCCAGCTCACGGCAGGAATCCATACCCCCAGCCAGCTCACAGCAAGGGTCCTGCTCCCCAGCCAGCTCACAGCAGGAATCCATACCCCTAGCCCCCTCACACAGCGGGAATCCATACCCCCAGCCCCCTCACCTTCAGGAATCCACCCTCCCAGCCAGCTCACAGCAGAATCCATACCCCCAACCAGCTCACAGCAGGGAATCCATACCCCCAGCCAGCTCACAGCAGAATCCATATCCCCCAGCCACTCACATGAGGAATCCATACCCCCAGCCCTCTCACAGCAGGAAATCCATATCCCCCAGCACCAGCTCTGGCAGGAGATCCATATCCCCCAGCCCTCTCTCACAGCAGGAATCCATACCCAGCCCCCTCACAGCAGGAATCCATACCCCCAGCCCCCCCAGCCAGCTCACAGCAGGAATCCATATCCCCCCCAGCCCTCTCACAGCAGGAATCCATACCCCCTAGCCCCCTCACAGCAGGAATCCATACCCCCCCAGCCAGCTCAGAATGGCCCTGGGGCCCTGCTGGGAGGCATTTCTGTTCCCCTCCTGCCTTTCTGAGTGCAGAACTTCTTAAGAGCTGAGACCCAGGGTCCAACCCAGCCAGGTGCAGCTCATGGTGAAGAACCCTTCAGGCAGCTCCGTGCCCATGGGCTCAGGGTAGTGACCCGTCATCCCATCCATGGATGGACTTGGCCAAAACGGCCCTGGACCCACCCAGAAGACCAGGGACAAGTCTATCAATGCCAGGCCAATCTGGAAGTTTTTGGCCATGCTTAAATTAGTGAAGGCTGGGGCCTGGCCACGGGCAAGCCTGCCTTTTGCACAACTGCTGGACTCCCTGCTGAGCATGACCACGGGCCACGGGGCTGAGATGTCCCCTGATGGAACATACCTTGGAGAGCCTCACCCTGGCCTGTCTAATGATCCCATTCACTAGGATGTTTATTGAGTGCCCATGCAGGGCTGGCCGGGGCTGGTGACTGTCCAGACATCTCGTTCAAGTCACACAAGGGTGCTGCAGGGTCGGCCCTTTCAGAGGGAGAAACTGAGGCCTGGGGTCTCGCCCGTTGGCCCACGGGGAACTCGGGATCAGAGAGCTCCGACCCCTGGGCCCCTCAAAGTCCAAGATGCCCTCTCCCACCACCTAGCAAGGTCTAGCATGGATATACAGGTGCGATTAACCTGGAAAATACCATATTTTTTTTCTCAAACACTAACTATCCCCAATCACAACAGCAGAACTTCAAACAGCAACCGTGCCACAAAAGCAAAATGAAGTCAGCTGACCCCTGGTGTGTAGAAATCAGATTTGCTTTTGTGGAGTCCGGTCCCTTCCTTGGCTGCTGGCAGGGCAGGGGGAACCTGGGGGATGCTGGTTTCCTTTCCTGGGCGTGTAGAGCCCTCAGCTGTTCCTACATCCCTGAGCTTCAGCATCGCAGGCCAGAGATACGGTGCTGGGGCCCTGTGGTTACTTCCAGGGTCGGGTGGTCTACAACTCTGTGGAATCTAGCGGGTGCCTCAGGGCAGGGGCCTAGTGGGCAGGCTCTGGGGCCCCCAGGTGGCTTCAAGCAGGGCATGGCACCCCCATCTGACATCTCCTTTCCATGTTCAGGGGATTCTGGGAAAGGGCCTGGTAATTAAACCCTTTTAAAGCCCACTGGCCCTGGGCAGTTGTCCAGGGCATGGGACCCAAGGCCTCCTGGTCCTATCTCCCTTTACCTTTTCTAGGTCTCTGTTACCCCTGGGCAGGAGGGGCAGTGATGATGGGAAGGAGGTGAGGACAGGGTGACGTCAGCCAGCCCACTCTGAGAGTGCCTGCTGCATGCAGGGGTCCAGCAGGCTCTGCAGGGGAAGCAGGGGAGCCTGAAACCCAGGGATCTGCTGCCCAAGGGAGGCCCCAGCAGGAGGACAGCAAGTCCCTGAGTCTTGGGTGGGAGGCGGAGGGCCTGGTGAGAGCCCCACACGTAGGTGCTCCAGTGGCCAGCCCTGCAAATGAAGCAGGAGGCTGGGAACATGGCGGGCAGGGGCCCGGGAGGATGGGGCCAGGCCTACAGCTTAGAAAGCAGGCACGGATGCTTCTTTTGGCTCCTCAGAGATGCTCCTTCAGTCCAGCCAACGACCTGCCTATGACGGTTGTGCCTCCACCCCGAGGAGTGGCGCTGGGGCCAGGCTGCGGACCCCTGGCGCTGGAGGGCTGCAGGCGGCTGGCCATACTCCTCCTGGGTGATCTCATTTCCAGGGCAGCCCCTCCCCTCCCTGCATCTCAGCTCAAGCGGCTCCTTCCTTGGGGACCCTCCTTAGTGGGAGAAACAAAGGCCAGTTGTCACCAGGACCTGGCGATTCATCAGCCTCTGGCCTGGACTGCCCCTCAGGGAGTGTGGTGGCTGTCTGCTGGGGGCTCGGAGCTGGGGGCGGGCAGGGCAGGAGCTGGTGGCACAGTGATACGGGTGGGGTGAAAAGTGTCCCCCCCATTCTAAACTTCGGGGGAAAAAATATTTTAAAAGTGCTGCCCACCCTCTCCGTCCAGCAGAGATTTTTCTCAGTGTTGTCTTTGGTGCTTCCTACAGCAAAGCTTCCCGGGCTCCCTGGTGGGTAAATGCTCCTAAGCCTTCAAGGGGCCTTCATCCCTGGGGCCACAGATTCATTTCCTGATAGGTAAACCGAGGCCCTGGTAGGGAAGATCATTTTTTCTAAGTACAGAAGGACTGAGATGTCAACAGGTACCCTGGTGGCCCACTAGGACTTGGAGAGAAGCCACTGACCTGGTGGCCGAGCTGGGCCCCTTGAAAACAGTGTCTGGGAGCATTCTGATTCCACAGCTGTGCCTAGCAGGGAAGGCCGAGACTGGAACTCCCAGTTCCTGCCCTCAGCAAGCTCTGACCCTGGGAAGACAGGACCAGCCGAGGGCTAGAGGCACATGCAGGTTGCTGTGGGGTGCAGAGAAGCCAGCCCAGGGACTGTGTGTGTGTGTGTGTGTGTGTGTGTGTGTGTGTGTGTGTGTGTGTTGGGGGCTGGGGTGGAGATGGGCAAACTGCTGAGGGCCACATTGGAGTTTAGGCAGCAAGGAATGCAGAGTGGCCAGGTGTGGACGGCCTGCAACAGCAGCCTCTCCTGTGCTAGCCTGGGGGGCTCTTGTGGGAAGAGCTCCGTGCGGGTAGGCACGAGGGAGATGACGAAGGGAAGGGAGGGAGGGAGGGCCTGGTGAGTTTTGCTCAGGAGTTTGGACTTTATCCCAAGGGCAGTGGGCAGCATGAAAGAGTTTTTAAGCTGGGAGTGCCAGGGTTGGGGGCAGGGGGTGCCGCCTGCTTAGGCCAGGAGAGGCTGGGAGCAGGCTGACGGAGATGGAGAGGGGGCGGGGGCCCAGGCCTTCAGGGACCTAGCCACACGTGGCTGTCCTGAGGCCTCCTCGGGGAGGAGGGCAGCCTCATCGGACCCTGAGCTGCAGCCTGGAGCCATGCCAGGCCCTCCACAAGCCAATGAGTGGAACAACGTGTTGCCGGGCTGCGTCTGCCCCCCCAACTCGCTGGCAGCGTGGGGGTGGAGGGAGCCGCATTTTAAAGTACAGTTTCTTTTGATGCAAGCACCAAGGGGCGTTAGGCAAACTCCTGGGCTCGGTTCCTCATCCTTCAATGCAAAACGACTCTTCCTTACGGTCCCGTCAATAACCGCTGCCATCTCCCCGCCGCTGCACAGGCCACATAGATCATATTTAAACCACATTGGTGGATGACAGAGATGTACGGATATTTTTAATCCCAACAGACTATTACGGTTCATATCATGTCTGTCAAATAAATATTATGAATCATTTCCCGTTATCTTTATGGGGGCCGCTCGACTACATCGGGGGGACCGGGCTCGGGGCCTTCCCGCACATCCATCCGCCTTGTATGTACACACATGTGCAGGGGGAGATGTATGGAGAAAGTGTCGATAATAAATGCCCCCGATAAAACACATAATCTCCTCGCCTGATGGGCGTCTGGGGGTGCACGGTGCAGAGGCGCCAGGGAGCGGCGTGCCACCTTCAGAGCCAGGGAGGCTGGGCTCGGCCCCAGGCTGGGAGCGTTGGCCTCCGTGTGTCTCCTTAGCTCCTGTGAGACAGGTTGTCATTCTGTTTCCCTGTAGTCATATTCTTATTTCTGTGATTAGCTGGTTCTTTTCTCTATTTTGTAGAAGAAGAGACTGATGTCTTGAGAGTGCCCTTGTCCAAGGGCCATGTAAGAGTTGGTGGCAGAGCCAGGCTATGGCCTTCTCCTCCTGGTACCTTCCTCAGCACCCTGTTTTCCAAGTCTGTCACCTGTGTCCCTTCCCCCTGGACTTTGGTCTCACCTGGCACCAGCTGCTCAGGCCAGCCGACCTGCGCTGTGAGAAGCAGGGAGGCGGTGCGGCTCATTGGAGGCTGGGGGCGGAGGTCAGTGGTTGTCTGGGGGCTTCCCTGGGGGTTCTGACCACTGACCTCAGCCCTGCATCTGGTGACTGCGGTGCCAGAGTCACCGCGTGGTCTGGAGTCAGTCACTGCTGCTCTCGGCCTCAGTGTTTCCATCTGGGAAATGGGGAAACCGGAGTCTTGGTCAGCCGGGGTGGGGTTAGAGGGGATGGTGCCTGGCAGTGTGCGGCAGACTGGCACCTCGGAGGCAGCTCGGAAACCTCAGGTTCCTCCTCTGCGGACTCTCAGAACTGCTCCCGCCCTTCTCTGAGCATCTGCGACTCCTCACAGCTGGTGCTGGGATTCGGTGGGGTTCCTTGGTGGCTCCTGGAGGGAACCCACTGTCTCTTGTCTGGAGCTGCCCTGAAATCCTGGTTCTTCTTTACAAACCAGCTCCTGTCCCCTTAAGCCTCACTCACCTGAACTCTTTGGCTCAAGCCCCCATTCAGCTCTCCAGAGTTCTGGAAGCAAGACCCCAGCTGATGACGGAGGTGGCAGTTGGCCTACGGAGGACCTCACCTTTCTCTTCCCCTGTACTGGTTTGGGTTTGGGGCGTGCAGGGCCAGCCAGCTGACTGCTACCAGGGCAGACACTGTCAACGGTGACTGCCCTGCAGGCCTGCAAACATTTTACCAGAGGCCCAGACCCAGGAGCAGAGGCGTCCTCTTCTCTTCCTCTCCCTCCCTTCCTGTCCTCTCCTCTCCCCTCCCTCCTATCCTTTCTCTTTCTCTCCTCCGCAGAATAGGCTGGAGCCCGGGTGTGGACAAGTGGCTTGTGTGTTTCCCTCTAGACTGATGGAGAGATGAGCTATGACTGAGAAAGCGGGTTGGGGCTGGGACCCCTGGGCCTAGTCCCAGTTCCACGTGGCCCTGCCGGGGGCCCCCTGCCTCTCTGAGCTTTCGGCTCTACTTCCCAGCTCGAGTCATCATCAGTCACCACAGACAAAAGGTGTTGGTCCCCAGAGGAGCCACAGCGGAGGTGAGAGTCCCCTTAGGCTGAGGTGCTTGGGGACAGATTGGGCCACCTTGCCCAGGAGTGCCCAAGCCCTTGGCCTGCCTCGTTGGAGGCCAAGCTCCCCAAACCCCTGTGAGGTCCTGCTAGTGACCAGCTCAGGACCACATAGAGCCTCTGGAAGCAGCTTAGCACCCCGTTGGTGTCCTGGGAACTTCTGGGAGCAGTCCACCCAGACATCAGCTTCCTCAGGCTCAGCCAGCACAGACACCGGCCTTTAAAAATATTATTCAACAAGCAATTCCCGGGACTGTTTACAAGACTGAGCCGAGACAGGCATATGAAATAGGCCAAAGTACCTTAAAAAGCATCCTTCAGGGAAATTAAAAAAAATAAAAAAAGACCCAAACAAACAAACAAAAAAAACAGAAAACAAAACCTTCTTAGATCACAGGTTGTGAATAAATGGATATTACTATAAAAATAGTTTTGGCTGTAGCAGCACATGGTGGGACGGCTGGGGTGTTTTTTTCCATGGCTGGCTCAGACCTGGCCATTTCATATGGGGCAGCCACTATCCTGGGAGGTTTCGTGTAGAAGCATTTGCACCAAAAAGTTCCAAACTGAGGGGGAGGATAAAAAATAGTGGCCGCAGAAATAACAAGCGGCATCGTCATTTTCCATCAAGGACCTGGTGTGTTTTCGGCAGCCGAGCACCCAGGTCCCTCTGCCCCATGGAAGAGAAAGGCAGGGCTGAGAGCCACTCACCGTCTGTGGGCACGGAGGCTGGATGTGAGCCCAGATCTGCAGGACTCCGGACTCCGTGCACTCTCCACGTGGTCTCTAGAGCAGGGGATGACGCCTTCCGGTGTTCCTTAGGAACAGAGGGCCCTTCTGGAACCTTCAGCCTTCCCAGGAGGAACCCACGTGGAAATCTGTCTGCGTGTGCCTCCCCGACTCCAAGCACCAACAGCTCCTGAGTCTTGAGTTTTCGGGGACAAGGAGTGAGATGGGGCTGGGGTGGGGAGTACAGCGTGCCACACAGCCCACTGTTGGGAGGTGACCTCAGACACTTCGGCCCAGCCTTCCCACCACTACCTGGCATGTCTTGACTTGCCGGCTGCGACCTGCTGCTCCTTCCCTCCGCAGGCCGCTGCTCAGCCGGCCCTGCTGCCTGGGCGGCCGCTGCCTGACGGAACCTCCCTCCTCCAAAACCTGACTCAAGAATCAGTGATCCCAGAAGGCTGGAGAAGGCCTTGCTCTCCCAGCACTGAGCATACGCAAAGGGCCTGCCTAACTCAGCGTCATTTCATCATCATCATCACAATAACCTTCACACCAAGCTCCTCCTCCTGAGGGCCGACTCTCCATATTATCTCATTTAGTCATCTCAGTGAGTCTGAGGAGGGAGTGGTTGTCCCCACTTTACAGATGAGGAAACTGAGATACAAGGAGGGAAGTGACCCAGCCAGGCCACACGGTTGATAGGAAGTGGACCTGCAATCTGGCCCAGGCCTTGTCCATCTGGGACCTCCCCCCTCCACCTGAGTACAGTCAGAACGGGGCCAAAGCAGTGACAGAGACAGGCCTGGAACCAGCTGGGCACATGGCACTTGCGCAGTGTATGCTGGCGCTTATGGGGGCTCTTTCTCGGTCCTAGCCTATGTTTGTCGCCCCCTCCCTGGCAGGAGAAACTGTTTTAGAAGGGCAGTGGGTTGGGCCGGCATGCCATGTGCAGTGGGGAAGTGGGTTTGTTGTGGCTGTGACCACAGTGGGTGAGGACCAGGTGTCAACAGTGGCCCTCATCCCGGAGGGAGGGGGGCAGGCTGTCTGTTGGACAGGGTGTGTAAGGGGCACAGGGTGGCCTTTGGTAGGGGCCCAGGCATCAGTGAAGAGGCGGAGGAGGAGAGGGCTACCTTGGCCTCTGGCTGTGCTGGGGGTGGACTGCCCAACCAGGGCACTCCTGTCCCAAGTGGAACCAAGACCTCCCACCGGGACAGGCCACCGGACCCCTTGTGGAATCCAGCTCCAGGTGGCCCGACTTGAGGGGCACCCAGGCAGCAGGACACCTCTCTGGCCTTGGGCTGTTTTACCTCTGGGCGGTGTCATGCCTGTCCACACGCGGTCATCACCTCCTCACCTCCCTCCCCATTAGCGTCCCCTGACCCGGGCCACCACGTGTAGCCTGCGTGACTGGTCAGCCCCTGTGCCTCGCAGCCCGGGCCCTGAGGTCTAAGCGGGCAGCAAGCTCGCGGTGGGGGCGCGGAGCGTGGGCGCGGCCGGGCGCCTCGGCGCCTGCTCAGGAAGGCTGGGCTTGGCGGCTCGCAGGTACCTCACACCCAAACCCGAATTCCAGCCGCCTGAGACGGCGGGCAGCGCGCGGCGCGGAGGAGGCCCCAGCTGTCCCGGGGCAGGAGTGCTTCCTTTCGTTTTCAAACAAATCTGGAATTTAAAAGTCAGGCAGAGAACTACCCAGGGTATAAAAATAACCACCGGCCACAAAGTCTATGTCCAACTCCGGGAAGCGCCTGCCCAGCCTGGTGCCTTTGAAGAGGGGTCCAGGAGTGCGGGTTGATGAGGCGGCGAAGCGCGCGCCCCTCCTCGTTCCCGGTGGGCCCATGGGTCTCTCCGTGGGGGCAGGGCGTGAAAATGGGGGGTGGACCGGGGGAGCGTCCGGAAGACGAAACCTTCCCCGGACGAGGAGCTCGTCCTCTGGCGTTGGGGCTCATCGCCACTCCCGGCCTCAGTTTCCCCACGTGTCCGCAGCGGCGGGGTGCGAGGTACGGGTGCCACGGCCGTCCCGCCCCACTCTGCGCCTGCCGGGCCCGGGCCGGGGTCCCCGCGCGGCCACCGCCCGGCCGCTTTGTGTGGCCGCGCAGACAATGGCCCGGCCGCTGGGCTCCCGGCCCGGCTCTCCGCCTCCTCCGGGCCCTGTGCGTGCGAGTGTGTGTGTGCGCGCGAGTGTGTGGCGGGCTCGGGGAGGGAGTTCTGCTCCCGCCCCCGCCCCCGCCCCCGCCCCGCTCCCTCCGCGCCCCGCCCCCTCCCACGCCGCCTCCTCGCGGCTCCCGGGAACCCCTGGCGGAGGCGAACTCGCAAGTTTGCAGGGCGCTCGCAACTCGGCGGCCGGGCGGGCGGCGATCGCGGGGCGGCGGCCGAGGGGGCGCGCTCCGGGCGGGGCCGGGAGGGTTTGCAGGGCGCTCGCAACTCGGCGGCCGGGCGGCGACGATCGCGGCATTGAGGCGCGCCCGGGCGGGGCCGGGAGGCGGCGCGGGGGCCAGAGCGGTGGCGGCGGCGTTGCGCCGAGTCTGCGCCTGTCGTTTCGCCACCCCCGCCGGCGCCGCAGCGCGCGGTCGGGAGCGGGCGCGGCGCGGCGGGTGGCTGGCGGCGGCGGCACAAGTAGTTTTTACATTGGGCGATTCTTTGCAACAACTCGCGCGCCGCGGCTTCCGCGCGCCGCCGCTGCCACCGCCGCCGCAATCCGCTGCCTGGGCCTGGCCGGCCGCGCCGGGGCCGCCGCGCCCGCCGCCGCCTGCTGGCAGCTCCTCGCGCCGTGCCGGCCGGGCATGAGTTAGTCGCAGACATGGACACCAAACATTTCCTGCCGCTCGGTGAGTGCTCGCCGGGCCGGGCGGGGACGGGGCCAGGGGCCGGCGGGCGGGGGCCGGGGGCGCGTTGCCGGCGCGCGCGGGGGTCGCCGGCCCGGGCCCCGCTTGGACCCCTCGCCAACCTTCGCGAGAGTTCGGGCGCCGGGCCCGGAGGGGGTCGACCCGGGGCAACTTTTCGCGGGGCCCGGGCGGGGCTGGGCAGCGGGCGGGCGGCGGGGCCGGGGGGACGGGTGGCAGGTTCGCCCGGGACGAGGAGGGGTCTCCCGGTCACCGGCGGCAGCCTGCGCCCTGGCGCCCAGCTGCAGCCGGGCCGCGCAGAAACCCGGCCGGAGCGGGAGGAGCAACTTCTGCGCTCCGCGGCTCCGGCCTCCCTGGCCTGGGGACCGGGACGGCGCGCTGGGCCCCGAGCGGCCTCTGCGCCGCCTGCCCGTCGGGCTGCGGCTTCCAGCAGGCCGCTGGCCCTTGGGTGTGTGTCCGCCCAGGAAACAGACTGGGACCCTCTTATCCCCAAAGCAGCCCACGCCCGGGTGGGCAGGGTCCCCCGGGAGCTGTATGAACAGAACGTCAGACGTAGGAAGACCCCCTCCCAGAAATGGGGCCCCTCACTCTGGCAGTCCCGGGTGTTCTCCTCGGTTGGCTCTCCATTTGTGAGCAGGACAGCGCAGAGGGTCAGTTTCCCTCCTCCTCCTGCCATCCCGCCCGGTGGCTTCCTATCCCAGACTGCCCGCCAACTCCAGGCCCAGACCTGCCGAGGAGGAGGAGAGGGCATGACTGGGGCTCCCACCCATTGCCCTCCCAAGGATTTGGAAGCTAGTGAGAAGGGGGAGACTTTATAAATGAGCTCCGGGAAGGGTATTAATTTGGTGGTGGGACGGCAGCCAGGCTGTCAGGCCGGGTGAAGGATTTGTGCTGAATGGAAATTGAAACAGCTGATTATGAATGAAACCCCGCCATCCTTAGCCCCTCCTGCCCACCCTCCTTACACCCTGGGGTGCAGCTTGGCCACCCCAGGAGGTGCTCAGAAGCCAGTGTAGCTGCAGGGATGTTTAGTGAGATGGGACATCAAGGGGAGCCAGCATGGACCCAGCCCCTCCTGGATATGAAGGTGAGAGTCTGAGTACCCCTACTACTCACAGGCAGGTGTGCTGCTCCGTGACCAGGGCGGGGAGTGGGTTCCAGGTTTGTCAGACCTGACACTTACTCCCTAACTCTATCATGCTGGAGTAATGGGCTTGAGGCCTTGAATGAGCTCCAGGGCTCAGCCTCCAGGGGTGGGCGCTCATGCCCATTTTGCAGATGAGAAAACTGGCAGGGAGAGGCTGAGCCCCCAGGATACAAAGTGTTGGATTTGGGATTAGCACCCGCAGCTGGTGGCACTGCTGAGTGCGAGGCAGGAGGGAACGCTGCGCTGTCTGTGACTGAGTGCACTGTGGGATGGGGGGAGCTGCCTTTCCCCCTTAAAGCTTTGCACTCACACATCTGCACACACACATCCACACATACAGAGCTGTGCTCTCCCAGGCGATTCCTCTGGAACAAGAATGCTCAGCTCAGTGTCTGGCCCCCGGACGTGGCTGGGGCCTGGCTGGTTGCACTTCAGCTGAGTACTGAGAACCGAACAGGTCCCTGTTTTTAATGCCCTGGATGGGACAGGGATAGTCCACAGAGTTGGTGTATGTAGGGTGAGGGAGCAAGGGTGCCCAGTCCCCATGGTGGCTTGCTGGAGTCCCTGTGAAGAGGAGAGGTCGTGCCTCTGAGCCACTGCCCCAGGGATCTCCCTGGGCACTCCCCTGCCACAAGGAAGCTGGGAGTCTTCTGTTCTCCAGCTCTCCCGACCAGCCCATGGCCTCCCAGGCAGCCCACGCCCCAGGGCTGAGCAGAGAGTCCTGGGCTCTGATTACATTTTATTTTTTTTCTAAGCTTGTGACCAGCTCTGAAGTCCAGAGCAGTCGAAGGTCCATTTAAGCGGTTACTTGTCTAAGCCCTTTTGTCAACACAGCCTAATCCCTCCTGGGGGTGAGTGGCGGGCGCAGGGCCTGGCTTGTCTTGGCCCGGCTGGCTGACCAGTCAGACCTGGGGCTGCTGGGGGAGACTCGGCCACCCCTTACAGCTGCCCAGCCACTTTTGGGGTCTGGGGTAGAGAGGGCTTCTTCCTTCCCCCATTCACTGCCGCTGGGCCTGGTGGGCCAGGGGAGGATCCCTGTCAGTGCCCACCGAGCCACTCAGTGAGGGCAGGGATGAGTCCAGCATCCAGATCTGGAAGGAAAACAAGGCCGAGGGACTCGCCAGAGGCAGCCCCAGCTTCCTGGCCCTGCTGCCCAGGGCTGGCCGTGCTCCCACGCCTGCCGGGGAGAAGGCCCTGGCTGGCCTTATCCTGAATGGTGGGACTCAGGCGGAGTCCACGGAGTCCAAAGGTCTCAGACCACACCAGACCCCATGTGCCTGTGGAGAGACCCGCTGGCAAAGCTGTAGGCCCACTGACCACTCTTGGAGTCGGGGCACTCAAGGACCTGGGTGAGCTTGCAGCCTGGATGAGGGGCTTCTGGTAACATCAGAGCCCTTGGGACCCAAAATAGAGCACATTCCGGGTCCTCCCGAAATAACAGGGCCATGTGACTCTCAGGAGGCTGGACTTGGAGTCCCGCTCCGGCCTGACGAGGGCGTCTTTTAGCGTGGGCACTGCCTGATGGCCGGGTGTTTGTCTTGGTAAACTCTGGAGGGGCCCTGTTTGTTGACTGGGGAGGTGTCAGGGTGAGAAAAATGGCCCAGTCCGATGGTGGCCCTGGCCTTGCTAGCCTCCATCCTTGCCTAGGGCTCACTGCTGGGCCTGGACCCGAGCACGCAGCTGTGACCCTCTGTCCAGATGTGGGTGGGATGAGCTGGGCCCCTAGGAAGGGCTGGTGGGGGGGCGGGTGCTCTGAGTCCCTTGGGGTGTGGGGTGCAGGTTGAGCCGGCAGCCCTGGTCACACGGGCAGCTGCTGTGACTGGCTTCCGGCTCTGCCAGCACCTGGTGGTTCTTCCAGCTGTGCCTGTCCTTCAGGGCCTGTGGGGGGCTCGCCTCCACCAGGAGGCCCCTCTGACTGCCCTCTCTTGACCCCTGCCCGATCTTCCCCGCGGCTGTGCGGAAAGTCTCTGTCCGTGGGCTTTGTTTCCTCCCCTGGGAAAGGGTGCCTGGAGGATTTGCTGTGGAATTACTGTGGGAACGGGGTACTCAGGGGTGTGCCCCTCTGCCCCTGGGGGCTTGTGCGTGTGGGGAGGCTCTGGCATCAGGAGAGAGTAGGACAGACCTCAGCTGCATGGAAGATGGTGTGGGGGTGAGGTGAAAGCCTTAAATGCCCACCCAGTGCCAGTGGAGGCTGCCTGGGAAGTTTCATTTCTTAGGTGACGTTTGGTTTTGCCATGGGTCAAATGTTTCAGGGCTGGGACCTCGGGTGAGCAATGCCTGTCCTCTGGAGAAGAGGGCACAGCTGTCCCAGCAGACACAGGACAGAGGCCCTCCCCAACCCCCAGCTGGCTCAGGGCTGGGGCACTGTCACTGGGACCCGGGCTTTGCAAGCCAAGACCTGCCCCTCCTTCCCTTCTCTGCCGGGCTTGAGTTTGTCTTTTTTAGCTGGCTTTGGTGGCCAGGGCCGTGGGGTGGCCCGTTAATTGGTGTGTTTTCATGGGAATTAGCCATTTGCTGGGCTAGGGGTGAGGCTGGGGTCTGGGGCTACAAGGGTCTGGGGGGCTGGCCTGTGGCTGTTGGGGGCTGGTGTCCATTTGGGGGTCACCTTCCAGACCTTTGTCCTGAGATTCTTAAGCTGATCAGTTTTAGGGTGCTATGGTGTGGGTAGAGGGGTCACTCTCCTCCCCCTGCACCTTACCCACCTGCCTGTGTGTTTCCATTTTATAGGGTGCAGCTCCGTCTTTCATCCTTCCTTCCCCTCCTCTGCCCCCTCCCATTCAGGGCCTTTGTCACCTGCAGGATGGAGGTAATGGTGGTTTTGCAGGGATCCCAGGATCAGCACCTTCCCAGAAAGAGGTTCCGACAGGCGGTGTCCCATTGCTGGGCGAGTGGTCAGGCCACCTGGGGTTGGGCCTTCTATCCTCGCTGCCTGCCTGGTCTGCTCTTTGGCCTCTTGGCTGTCCATCTGGAAAATGGACACACTCGTTGGCTCTTCCAGATGCTGGAGAAGGCAGCCTTGTGTGTCATAGGCTGACTGGGAGTTTGGGGAGTCCGTTCGTGGGTTGTCTCTGCTAGCCTGTGGCTGGGTCCTCTCTGTGCCTCCTGCTTGGGTTAGGGTGGGGCCAGGTTTCCAGCACTGGACCAGAGCGGGCCACGATGGTCGCTGGGACTGTCAGGTGTGG